CAGCCGTCGTGGACAGCGCCGATGCGAGCGTGAGGCCACTGGCAATCGAGCCCGGGCCGGACGCCGAGTGCGAGCTGGTCAGCAGCGGTGACACGGCGTTCGACGTCGCGAAGGCTTGCGGCCTCTCGGTTGGGAACGCTCCGGTGGAGGGCGGCCTTGTCGCTCACGTTACGAAGGTGAGGCAGCGGGTCAAGGCCCGGGGTGCCTATGGCACGCGCCCGAGCGACGGGGCTGGCAGCTGCAGACGCAGCGGCACCAACTGCAGCTACGCCGGCCGCGGCCCCGATAGCTGCGACGACCGTGGCGCTGACCGCCTTGCCTACAGGTACGCCGAGGGCTATGCCTGCGGCGCTGACGGCCGAGCTGACCGCGGCACAGTGGGCAGCCGCGACGACGTCGGCAGTTGCGACGGCATCGGCAGGGACAGTGGCGCAGCCTGCGGCGCGGACAGCCGCGCCGACTGCGGCGCCGACGGCTGCGCCAACCACGGCACCGACTGTCGCGCCGACCGTGAGCCCTACGAGGGCACCAGCGGGCTGATCGAATGGCCCGCCGACAGGCTCACCGGCTGCGGCACCGACAGCGGCGCCAATGGCTGCAGCCACGCTGTCTGCGGCACCGGCGGCCGCGCTGACGGCTACCTCGACAGCCACGCCGACGACAGCCCCGTCAGTTACGCCGACAATGGCACCGACTGCTGCATCGACCTCGGCGCTGACCGCGGCGCCGACGGCGGCGCCTACGAGGCAACCCGCAAGGGCGTGCCCGTGGGGGGCGTCTCGGGCGGCGGGCGCGGCCGCGCCGACCGCGGCACCTACGGTGGCACTGACGGCCACCCCGCCAGCGGCGTTAACCGCTGCGCTGGCTGCGGCACCGACCGCCGCGCAGACTGCGGCACCAGCAGGCACGCCGACAGCATCCTCGACGGGGGCGCCGACAGCGCCCCCTACTGCAGCGCTGATTTCGGTACCGGCCGCGGCGCCGACAGCGGCGCTGGCGCGGTGAACTTGAAGGGCGCGCTCGTGGAGGGCTCCTCGGATGACTGGCACGTTCTGGACAGCGGCCCAAAGGCTGCCGAGGAGATCGAGGCTGCGCTGGCGGGTCATAAGACGGCTGGTACGCCGACGGCTGCATCGACGGCCTCGTTGACAGCTGCGCCGACCACGGCACCGACAGCTGCAATGACAGATGCGCCGACCGCTGTACCAGCCGAGGCGCCAACGGCGGCACCGACAGCGGCGCTGGCGTCTGCGCTGGCGGCCTCCAGGCAGCCCAGACCTCACGGGCGGCGCACGCCGGAGGCAGCTGCCACCGCGGCCCCGGGGGGCGCCACCGTACTCGCACCGGCCGGGGGCGCACGGCTCGCACCAGCCTCAGGGGCGGGCGTTGGCCCACCCATGTGCGACGGACGGCGCACGCCAGCGGCGGCTGCGGCCGCGGCCCCGAGGGATGCCCGCCCGTCCTCGCCCGCCAGGGGCGCCCGGCGCGCACCAGCCTCCGGGTCAGCAGCGGTCCCGCCCATGTGGGACGGGCGTCTCGCGCCAGAGGCGGTGGCTACCGCGGCCCCGGGGGATGCGGCACTAGACAGCCACGGCGACCTCGGCGACAACGGAGACATCGACTAGCTCCCCGCCGGGTTTCCCGACTCCGGCTCCGACTGCGGCGCCGCCAGCTACGCCGACCGCCATGCCGGCTGCAGTATCGACAGCCGCGCCAATTGTGGCACCGACAACGGCGCCAATTGCGGCACCGACGGCGGCAGCGGCTGCGGTACTGACAGCTGAGCCGACGGTCCGGTGGCCCCGACCGCCTCACCGACTGCGGCTACGGTGGCCGCGCCGACGACGTCGCCGACAGCAGCGCCGACGAGTGTACCGACCGCGGCGCCGACAGCCACTCCGACAGCCGCGCTGGCAGCGGCGCCGACGGCCGCGCCGATAGCGTCGCCGACGGCAGCTTTGGCCGCCGTTCCGACCGCGGCGCTGACCGCTGTGCCGCCGGCCGCGCCGTCTACGGCACCGACCGCTGCTCCGGCTGCGGCTCGGGCCGCCCCGTTTACAGCGGCGGCGGCAGCTGCGCCGGCTTCGTCGCCTACGGCTTCGCCGATTGCTGCACCAACGGCAGCGCCGATGGGTCGTCTGTCTGTTGCCCTGGCCGCGGCACAGACAACCGCCTGGACAGCGTCGACGACGGTTGCACTAGCCGCTGCGCCTGCAGATGCACGGTTCGGTTCGCCGATGGCTGAACTGGTCACGACACCGACGGCTACTCCGACAGCGGCGCCGACGGTCGCGCCGACATCGGCGTCGACAGCGGCCCTGGCCGCCACGGCGACCACGGCGCTGATTGCGGCGGCGACTGGCGCGCCGACGAAGGGCGCGACGACGGGGGCGAGCGGATCGACCTACGTTGGCATGTTCGCCGGCAGCACTGGCATCGAGGGCCGCGCGCTGTCCGCCACACAGGAGCCGCCCGTCGACGAGGATTAGAAGGAGGAGGGCCGGGGGGAGCGACGGGCTGCTCGGGCCTCGTGGCGTCCACTGGGCTGCAGCCAGCTTGCGCCTCCAGCTCGCGCGTGCGCTTTCGCATGCGCGCGCTCGTTCTTTGCGTGTGCTGAGTCGCGTCCTGCGCGACGCGCGCGGCTAGCGCTTTTCGCGTGCGCGATTCCGCGCCGGCGGGCCGGCGACGCGCGGCCCTGGGGAGCGTTTAGCCCCCCCGCCTGGGCGAGGCCGTGGGGGCCGGCTCGGGCGTGCGTTGCACGCCGCCGGCAGGGCGCTGCCCAGCCGGGGCGGCCTGGCGCCCGCTCCAGGAAGGCCTCAGGCTTGCAGGCCAGTGGTCGCGCGCGCTCGGGCGCCTTTCGCCCGCGCGCGGCTGCGTTCTTTTGGTTTTGGCCGTGCGGCAGCAGGGCGTGCCAGAACGCGCGCGCGCCACTGTGCGCGTGCGCGGGCGGCGCGGCGTCCCGCCGGACCCGCGCCATCAGGGTGGTGCGCGTGGCCGCTTTGCCATTGAAAGAGTTCATCTTTGTCCTTCTCCCGTCCTCGTCCTCCTTCCTCCTCCTCTTCCTCCTTCTCCGTTTAGTGCACGCGTGCCTTCGCTTAACTTGTATAGTCTGTTATGTTGGTAGACTGCAGGTTCAGCGTAGGGAAGTGGGGGCTTTGCCTTAGCCATTTGGGGTCCGTAGTCGTGGGCTCGAGATCGAGCCAGGACTCGGGGGCCCACCCACCCCGCTTTGCTCCCTGTGCACCCAGCTCCGCTCGGCTCTCGGGCCGTGCGGCAGCAGGGCGTGCCAGAACGCGCGCGCGCCACTGTGCGCGTGCGCGGGCGGCGCGGCGTCCCGCCGGACCCGCGCCATCAGGGTGGTGCGCGTGGCCGCTTTGCCATTGAAAGAGTTCATCTTTGTCCTTCTCCCGTCCTCGTCCTCCTTCCTCCTCCTCTTCCTCCTTCTCCGTTTAGTGCACGCGTGCCTTCGCTTAACTTCTTCTCCGCGACGAAAATCTCCTCTGTAACTCAAGCGGGAATCATCCCAAGCCGAGGTCGGGGGGACTCCGGGACAGTATGGGATAATTGGTGCGCGCGTAAGCAATACTGGGGTAATTGAGGTTTGGATCTGAGATACGTTGGAATCGTTGATCTCACATAGAAGCATGATGAGAGAATTTCCAGACCTGATCAAAATTACGATAGCCTTGAGCCCGAAGACGCAATGGGGTCAAGTTTCCCGCCGCCTGGCGCAGCCCCAACGTTTTTTGGTAGGATTATGTGGGGTGGAGGGGGGGGGCTGACATCATTGCGGCCTCTCCACTGCCCTTCGAAAGTTCAAAGGTGCTGTCGTCGCACCGCTGTAATTATAAGGCCTGCCCGTACAACCCGCCCCGCCCGCGACGCGCCCAGCGCCCCGCCCGCTTTTCATTGACGCAAGACTGGGCGCCTGCCACTCGAACTTCCGACTACTCGCTCGCCCTGCGACCCACCCATATTGCGATGCGTTCGTTGGCCGCCTGGCATCCGCAAGGCAGCTGGGGCGCTTCTCGCACTTACCCGCGGCTGCGGGGCCTGTGTCAGAGTGTGGGGCCCGAGTGGTCTTAGATTGCCTTTGGGTGCGTGGCTGAAGGGGGGTATCTGCAGCGCGGGCTGTCGCTGCTGGTGTTGTTCTTCAAGTCGTCGCCCACGCCGCGATCCACCCGCGGCACAGCTCGCGACCCCCCCCCCCCCCACGACCCGCGCCCGCAGGCCGCGCCCTCCACCCACCCGCGGCTCACCTGTAGCCCGCCCGCGCGACCCGCTCCTCCAGGCTTGCCCTCAAGAAGCAGCGCCGCCGCCGGCAGGCCACGCTTCTATCCGCATCTGGCCCTCGGGCCAGTCGTCCCGCCGACGACCCGCCGCTGACGACACACATGCGCACACCGCTGTGCAAGGCAAGATCCTGGCGCCCGCGGCGGGCAGAGATTGTCCCCAACAGAGATCGAGCCAGCGCCTACGGCGGGCTTTGTTGCATCGGCGCTCTTGAGCCACGTAGCCCCCGCAAGTCGCCCCGGGGCTGTCCTCGGAGTTGACTCTTGTCCGCAAGCGCGGGGCTGAGGAACAGTTTCCGTGCCCGGTGCCGCTGCGTCTCCCCGCTGCGTCTCTCTGTCCTCTCTTCTTCTGCTTCCCCTCCTGGTCCTCTTCCCCCGCCCTCGTCCGTTCTCCCCCTCACCTTCCTCGCTGGCAGCTGGCACCGTCTGCGTTCACAGGAGGAGTACAAGCTTCTCTTCCTCATCCTCGTCCTCCTCCTCCTGCTCCTCTTCCTCCTCCTCCTCCTCCTCCTCCTCCTCCACTCCACTCCTCGTCCCGTCCGCCGCCTCCTGGTGCACTTCCTTCACCCCCTGGCCCCTCCTCCCCTCCGTCTCCCTACTCCTCCTCATCTTCCTCCTCCTCCTCCTCCTCCTCCTGCTCCCTCCTCCTCCCCCTCCTTTTCATCCCTTCATCCCACTCGTCCTCCCGCTCCCAATCTCCTCCCTCAGGAGGAATGTTCCTCGTCGAGCGCCGCGGTACCCCACGCGGAGATGCGGAGGACCGTGCAGATCTTGTCCTTCGGGCTAGAGAACTGCGAGAACCAGCTGGTCGACAGGTGCAGCAGCGGCGCGACGACGACCACGACGACGACGACGACGACCACGACCACGACGACGACGACGACGACGACGACGACGACGACGACGACGACGACGACGACGACGGCGACGACGACGACGAGAAAGACGAGAACGACGAGGCGACGACGACATAGACGATGACGACGCGACGACGACGACGTCGACGAAGACGAGGCGACAACGACGCGGCGACGACGACGTGGCGACGACGACGAGGACGAGAAACGAAGACGGGTGTTGCAACGACGCGGCGACAACGGCTACGAGGTGCTGCAACGGCGCGGGGGGGGGCTTCGAAACGTTCACCGACGCCGAGCTGAAGAGGGCTCTGGACCGGCTGAAGTGGAAGGCGTCGAGGAAGAGCAACACGGCACACACATAATTGTCGGAGGTCCACGCGTGTTTCTCACGTCGACGTTGGTTCCTTTTTGGCAGCGCCTCCGGCGCCGACACACTTGAACCCCTCGCGGACTTGTAGCCGTTTCTTCTGCTTCTTATGTTTCTTCCTCTTCTTCCAAGGTGGACGTGGTGTACGACGCCAGAAATTTCCCAGACCCGGACGCTTCGGGCCTGACGAACCACACGGGGCACAACTACAAAATCATCTCGGCTACACGTAAGGGTGACCCTTCGCTGGAGGTCCTTTTGGTGCGCGGTTTTCGGGGGGGCGCGGAGTGCATAACCCGAGCACGCAAGCAGCCGCTGTCGCATCGCACGCAGCGATCGGCTCGCCGCATATTAGATGTCAGTTTTGCCCAGGGTTACTTTTGCGTTCCGCCGATCATCGCGCGGCTCGTGCAGCACAGGAACTTCAGGAACGGGGGTGGACAGAACCCCTGTACAAAGACACCCCTTAGTGAAGACTGCCCGGGGATCCCCGTCCCGCGGGCGCAGGCCCGCAACAACGGCGGCGGCAGCACCGCGTCGAGAAGCCAGGCAGGGAATCCACGGGCGGGTTCGCCAATCGACCTGGCAGGGTGGGGGCCCCATCGACCCTCTGAGGGAATGGCTGCACGGCCTCAAGCGCATGTTCCTGCGCGCCTGCGACCAGCACGCCGGCGATGGCCCGCTGACGCTTGCAACGTACTGCCGCTCAGGCAAGCACCGCAGCGTCGGGACCGCCCTGGTCCTCGGATGGGATGCAAGAGCGTTTTCCCAAGTTGATGAATCGCTTCGCTCCCTTCGCAGGCCCACGTTGTATCATGGTTCGAGTTTGGGTATGGTGGGAAGCCCCTTGGGGGCCTCCTGGAGGGCTCCTGTCACGTGCCAGTCTTAGGGGTTCCTTGGAATCTTTTCGGGAGGCATCCTGCGAGCCTTGTGGAGCATCTTCGGGGCCGTGCTCTCGCTCAGGCACGCGCCGCAGTGTCGGGACCTCCCTGGTAGGTGGATAGGTCGCCTGACCAGTTTCAAATTGTTACGCTGCCGCGCACAGGGTCGACTTCGATCTGGTCGATCCGATACGATATTCGGGGGAGAAAAAGATACGGATACGTGTTGTCCCCCGTCGTTTTCGGCCTTTCCTGGTCCTCCTGGGGAATCCTCGTTGTCACCGCTGGATTCGCCTCGAAATTCTGGTCAGAACGCACCCCAAGAGAGGTCCGGGGACAACACGTATCCGTATCTTTCCGCCCCCCAAGATATCGACTCTAGCCGGCCCGGTCAGACTCGATGACGATGCTCTGGCGATCTGGTGCGGCGCGATGTCTGCGTGGCGCTGTTGTGCATTCTGGCGCAGCCGACCTGATTCGATTTCGCCCCCGTGCCGACGCAGCCACGGCCATTTCTTCGGCCACGGCGTTGCGTGTCGCAGTCAGCAAGTATTGCGATGCCACGTGATAGTGGCTATGTGCTCATGTGCGTTTCGTACTCAGCATTTGCTTGCTTGCGTGCCGACGCAGCCCGATACCCGAGTCCGATTTCCCAACTCGGAGCTGACTGATCCTGCCGCGGCTTAGCGAGGGCGTGCGGCGCAGCACGGCAGGAGCGCTGCACGGTTGCCGTGTTGTCTCTCGGGGGCTTCGTCGTGGCCTCGTGGGTACCCTCCGTCTTGTTTCGTGAGGTCGGTTGTCAGCGAACCAGCATCTGATTGAACTTGGCAGAGCCGTTATTAGGGGAACAAAGAGTGACATAAACATAGAAACTCGGAGGTCCGCGCGGATTTCTCGGATCGGCGCTGGGGTCCCCCAGCGGCGCCTCCGGCGCCGCCCCTGGCGCGCTCCGCGCGCCAGGGAGGGGGGTCAAGCGCCGATCCGAGAAATCCGCGCGGACCTCCGAGTTTTTATGTTTGTGTCACTTTTGTTCCCCTAGTTATGACAGCTTGGGCAGTAAAGGATAGGACATGGTAGTGGCAGTCCTAGTCGGATGGGCGAGGATATCTGTGCGGTAGTGTTATGCGAGTGGGTGAGGAGTTGTGTGCGGTAGTTTCATCAGGCTGGCGGATGAGGTCAGTGGCAAGTTGAGGCCAGTGGGCGGAGATATTTCCGGGGCAGTTTTAGGTTGGTGCGTGAGGATATGTCGGTTTCAGTTTCAGGCGGGTGGGTGAAGTAGGTGACATTTCTAGGCGTTTGAATGAAGATATTCCCGTATGGTTGAGGATCTGATGGTGCCAGGTTTAGGTTGGCGGGTGATGTTTCTGTTGCAGTTTTCGGTTGGAGGGTGAGGATTTATGGTTGGCAGTCTCAGGCGGGGAGTAGAGAATATCCAGGTTGCAGTTTCAGGCGTGTGGGTGCAGATATCGAACATGCCACGGCGTGCCACCGCCGTTCCCTGCCTTTCGAATGTGCCTACATGGCCGAACACTGGGCCAACACATGGCCAAACTATTGGACAATGTGGCCCCAGCCGCCGTGGAAATCGATTGGGGAACCTGTGAGAGAGAGGAAGAGGGCGAGGGGGGGAGATGGAGGAGGAGGAGGAGGAGAGGCAGGAGAAGCAGGACACGGAGGCGAGGCCTCTGGGTGAGCTGCCGGGGCCCTCTTGGGGGGCTCTCGGGGTACTTTTAGGGGGCCCCTTGGGGCCTCCAGGAGGCCTTTTGTGGCCGTCCCAGGGCGCTCTGTGCCCGCCTGGCGCCTGCGGCAGGCAGTCCTCGCCTCCAGTCTTTGGGCCCTCCTCCCTCCTCCTCCCTCCTCCTCCCTCCTCCTCCCTCCTCCCTCCTCCTCCCTCCTCCTCCCTCCTCCTCCCTCCTCCTCCCTCCTCTTGGAAGCCTCTTGGGCCGTCTTGGGGCCATGTCGGGGGGGCCCCTTGGGCCGTCGGCAGCCCGCACAAGCGCGAACGCTGACAGCTGTCAAAGGTGTGTGGGGAATCAGCGTTTGGGGCCTATTCGGACACTACTGGGGGTCCTCTTGGGGGCCTCCTGGGCCCTGTGCAGAAACTCCTGGGCCGACTCGAGGCCGTCTTAGGACTATCTTGGGACGGCTTGGAGCAAGATTCGGCGCACTTGGAGGGCTCTTGGGCCCTCGGGGTGCCCATCTTGGACGGTTTGGAGCCGTCATGGAGGCCATCGTGGGCAAGCGTGGCCAACTTTGAGGCGAGTGATTTGGATCTTCCAGTGCCAGTGGAGTGGGTCTACGACGAATCATCGCCGCCCCCAAGAGCAGGAACAGGAGCAGGAGCAGAAGGAGGAGAGGGAGGATGATGACGACGAGGAGGAGAAGGAGGACCAGGAGGGCTCTTGAAGCTCTCTTGGGGCCTCCCAGGAGCTTCTTGCGAGCCTCTTGGGCGCCTATGAAGGGGCCTCTTGGGGGGCCTCTTTGAGGCCTCCTGGGGTTTCTTGGGGGCTCTGAAGGACCCCTTGGCCTTCGGAGGCCATCTTCGGCCCCTCCTCTCTTGGCAGTTCTAGGTCCCTCGTGGGGCGCTTCGGGGCCGTCTTGGAGGTCCGTCTTGGGGCCGTCTTCGGGTCTCTTGGGCGGTCTTGGGACCCTCTTGGGCCCTCCTGCAGGCCTCAAGGGGTATTCTCAGCCCTGAAATCATGTGTTATTTTATGGGCGAGGCAATTGACGAGGGTGGCCACAGCAGCGTGGCACATTCTCGTCTCTAGGGGGAGCCGACTTCCTTCGACGCTCTTTCCATTCGATTGCCTCCATGGGGCGCCGCGGCTATCGTCGTGCTTGTCCGTCCTTCTGTCGGTTCGTCCGTCCGTCCGTCCGTCCGTCCGTCCGTCTGTCTGTCTGTCTGTCTGTCTGTCTGTCTGTCTGTCTGTCTGTCTGTCTGTCTGTATGTCTGTCTGTATCCTCGTTTGCTCGTCTGGCGTCTCTCTCCCCGTCGCCTCCTTGGGCCGCGGCTGCCAGGAGCAGTCCCGGCAGACGCAGCGGTGGCAGGGAGCGCCCGGTGCGCGCTACTTGTTGTTTACCAGACCTGCCCGCCCGAGCTGCGGAAAACAGCGCTGTAGGCTGTCCGCTGGGCTGGGGCGCTGTGTGTGTGTCTCCCAGCCCAGCAGCAGGCTTCTGTCCCTTCCCCAGGGTCTTTTCCTGGGGCGTCTTGGGGCGATCTTGAGGGCACATGGGGTCGTCGTGGAGCGTCGGGATACCGGAAAGGCGAGAAAGCTAAAATCCATGGAAAAACCGAAGGACATTCAATGATTGCGAAGGCCTTGCAGCCGGGGCCGCCGACCCTGAAGGGGGACGACGACGACGACGATTGTGACGGCGGCGACGAAGACGAAGCTGAAGCGGGTCAGAGTCCTCAAGGGTGCTTCTTGGAGTCTCTTCGGAGCGCTCTCGGGGGGCCTCCTTGGAACCGCTTGGGGGACTCTCGGAAACCTATTGGGGGCCTCTAAGGGGCCTCTTGGGGACTTCTTGTTGGGAGCCTCTCGGGGCCGCAGGCGCGAAATGTCCGTTTGTGTCCGCCGTTTGGGCGCCCTCTTGCAGCCGTCTTGGGGGCCTCTCTGGCCGTCTTGGAGGCCTGTGGAGCCGTCTTGGGGCCCTCTTTGGCCCTCTTTGGGCCCTCGTGGAGGCCTCTTGCACCGCCTTGGGACGATCTTGGGGGCCTCTTGGGCAGTCTTGGAGCGTCGGGATGCCAAACACCTCTTAGGAGTACTCTTGGAGGTCATTGGAGCGTCTTTGATGTTTGCTTTTGCCGTCTGGAGGCCATCTTGGAAGTCTCTGGGCCGACCGCTCGGCGGCGCGGGACCCTCTTGGACCGTACTGGGGGGCCTCCTGGGGCGCGCCTGGCCCGTCTTGGGAGCCTTCTTGGGGGGCCACGGGAGGGCCCGAGGGGAGATGGTGTTCTGAGGACCCCCGACCCGAGGAGGGAGGAGGGAGGAGGGAGGAGGGAGGAGGGAGGAGACCCCCCCCCCCCCGGGTGGTACTCGACGGCAAGGGCGTGTCACACCGAGCTCGGGCCCGCTGCGGTGCTGTCAGAGAAGCCCTCCAGAGCTCTCCGACGAAGGCTTCTCCGCCCGAGAGTGCAGCAAGATTGGGTGAGAACGAGTGGACGTGTCTGGAGTCGGTGCCGTTCGGTGGTATGCCAGCTTTCCCGGGCGTAGGGGTCTGACCCGGCGCCCCCAGGATCCCCCCCCACCCGGCAAACTTGTTAAACGAAGGGATCAAAGGGTGCGCTTCAGGAGGAGGGCCCAGGGAAAGGGGGGGAGCGGCGACGGCAGAGGCGGCGGCGACGACGACGGGTCGACCGGGAAAGCCTGTCGCACACGCCGGCAGGGTCGGCGGATGCTGGCCTCCTGGACGTCCTCGTCGAGCCCTCTTGCGGCGTCTTGGGAGCCTTCTGTGCCGTCTGGAGGGCATCTTGGGGCAGTCTTGGGTACATCTTGGGCCCGATTGGAGACATCTTGGGGCCGTAGCTTTCTTGGGAACATCTTAGCCGTCTTGGAGGCAATCTTGGCGTCTTGGAGGCCGTCTTGGGGCCGTCTTGCGTGGGAAGACCGATGGGATACGAAATTGGGACGGGCGGATCTAGCGGCCCTCGGCCCATCCCGCTACCGGTTCTTGGCTGTGGGCCAGGTGGCTCATTGAGTCTTGTTTGGGTCCATTGAAGGCCTCGTTGAGGCCTCGTGCGGACGTCCCAGAGGCCTCGTTGGGGCCTCTTGGAGGCTCCTCGGAGCGTTCAGGAGTCTTCCCGGGAGCCTCTTGAAGCCTCTTGGGGGCCGGCTGACGGTGTCGGGGGCCATCTTTCCGGGGGGGCCAAAGCACACAGACACCATGAATCGTCGATTCCCAGGAAAATATTGGAAATATGGACAATGGGGGGAAGACGAAAATCAAACAAAAAAATAGATGGGGAATCCTGTTATTGGTGTGTGTTCATTTGTGTGTCCCAGGGCCCCTTCAATCTTTGGGGCAGATTTGTTGGGGTGCCGTTGAGGTCCTCTCCGGGCGGCGGGCCACAGCTTGGAGCCTCTGGGGCTGCCCAGGTGTCGTCTCGGGCCGCCTGGGCCCCCCTCACGGCCGCCTGGGCGCCTCCTTGGGGTTGTATCGAGTCGGGCCCGTCCCTCTACAGGGGGAGTACTCAAAAATAGTGAAAAATAGTATGGTGACTATTTTTTAGATATTTGTTGACCAGTTTGGAATATGTTTTGAGTATTTTTTATTTTTCGTCGAACATCCCCCTGTAGGGGGGCACGCCCGACTGAAGGGTTGTATATTGGGCCTCTTGGGACCCTCCTGGGCCATCTTAGAGCCCTTGAGCTGTCATGGGCCCCTCTCGGCGGCCATGGGGGCCATCATTCGCCGATCGGGGCCGCAACACTAAACGATTGGAGGCCGATTGCTGCCCTTTTCTGGTGCCTCTCCCGTCGTTCGTAGGACCTCAAGATGCCTCTTCCGGCGATACCAGCATGTTTTGACGGCCCTGTTGGGCTTCCTGGGCCGTCTTGGAAGCTTGAGCGAGTCTGGGAGCCTCGAGAGGGGGAGGGGGCGTGGGTCATGCATACGATGCACATGGGGGCCACAATATTGGCAGAAACCTTCCCTGAAATGTCATGGAACACGGTGGCGGGTTGTCCCAAACATACAAGCGCGAGCAATGCGCACGCTCACGCGAGTAACTACACACATGAGTGCTGCGTGCACGTGCGAGCACACATCGTGGAAACGGCTCAGGGCCTTCGGAGTGCAGGGCGTTTTTGAACTCCCAGGTCTTGGTGCACATCCTGCGCGAGGAGGGCTGGTACTGCTGGCCGCCGAGGCACCTGTCCGAGAAGCGGTGGTCCAGAGCGTGCTGCAAAGGGCGGTGCGAGGACTGGTGGCCCCGCCCATGCAGTGCTCGTGTGAGCGGGGAGCACAGCCCCCTGCTCACGCTGCTCGTTCTTCGCCTCGTGTGGGCTTCTGCTCCAGGTCCAGACGTTTTCTCCTCCCGCTCGGTGTTGTTGTGTTCACTCTCTCCCGAGGCCCCAGACGTACCCGCACTATCAAAACGACCTGAAGCATCCCTTTGCCCCCCCCCCCCCCTCCTCTGCCCCATCCGCTCCCCACTCGCGTCCTCCCAACCAGGAGCGTCGAGTTGGGGGGGGGGGGGGGAGGAGGTGAGGACGAGAGGGGAGGGAATGGGGGGGGGGGGATGTCATGGCCAGGGCCAGGAAATCTCCCCAACGTCACTGCCTTCTGCTCGTCTCTCCGCGCGCCCCCTGGCCCATGCCCTCCCCTCGTCCGCGCACATGCGCGGGCCACGATGCGCCCCCCCCCTCGTCCCCGGACGCCCGACGCCACGATGTTGTTCACAACGTCGGGCCCCAGAGGTCTCGACCCACTCCCTGGAACCCACTTTCCCCAGAGGCCGAAATAGCAAAAAACCTCTTGTCATGATTTGGCCCAACCATCCTGTGGTGTTGGGTCCCCGTTTTGAAGAGACGGTCCCCGCGTTCCCTCCGTCCTCCTCGCCCCCCCCCCCCTCCACCGCCCGCATGCGTCACGCATACCCATTTCGGCACACCGCTCACACTTTTCGTGGCTCCACAGGGAGCTCCACCGAAGGCCCCAGTGCCACCGCCCGTGTGCGTCACGCACACCCATTTCGGCACACCCCTCACACGCTTCGTGGCCCCAAAGGAAGCTCCACCGAAGGCCCCAGTGCCACCGTCCGCATGCGTTACGCATACCCATGTCGGCTCACCCCTCACACGCTTCGTGGCCCCAAAGGAAGCTCCACCGATGGCCCCAGTGCCACCGCCCGAATGCGTCACCCACGCCCATGTCGGCACACCCATCGCACGTTTTGTGGCCTCATAGGGAGCTCCACCGAAGGCGCCAGTGGCTGCGTTCGCATGCGTCACCCACGCACATTTCGGCACACCCATCACACGGTTTGTGGCCCCATAGGGAGCTCCACCGAAGGCGCCAGTGGCTGCGTTCGCATGCGACGCACACCCATTTCGGCACACCCCTCAAACGTTTCGCGGCACCACAGGGAGCTCCACCGACGGCCCCAATGGTTGCGTTCGCATGCGCCCACCGCACCCATTCCGGCACACCCCTCACACGTTTCGTAGCCCCATAAGGAATTCCACCTTCGGCCCCAGTGGCTGCTTTCGCATGCGCCCACCGGACTAATTCTGACACACCCCTCACGCGTTTCGTGGCCCTATAGGGAGCTCCCCCGAATGCGGTGCATACAATGACAGTATTCGCAACTGCATATGGTTGGGTCCTTCGCCAGGCTTGTTGTCACGACGCGGTGGGGTCTGGGTCCCCGGCTCTCCGCTTCCGCGTGCCCGGCCCAGCCAGGAGTGCTTGAACCCCCCCCCGGACGTGTTGGACCGGATCTTCGAGCAGGCGTTGTGGATCTGGAGGGCCGCCTGAGGGGCGCGCCCCCGGAGGAAGAGCTCATGAGGCGAAGCTCAGAGGAGGAAGAGGAACAGGTACCCATACCGCTACCCTCGCCTCGTTTTCTCCCTCTTTGGGCCTCTCGGGAGGCCCTCGTCGCCACCGCCGGATTCGCTCCGAAATTCTGGCCAGAACGCACCCTGGGAGAGGTCTGAAGAGTTGCGGTATCGGTACCATTTGGTTTCCCCAGGGGCGGAGCAGGAGGACGAGGATCAACAATTTCAACGCGTTGACAAAACAAGACTGTTGGTTTCACCGCTTTCGGCCTCTACTCAGCGGTCCTCGCCCGGTCTGGGGGACAGTCAAGAAAAAACGACTCAGGATGAGAAGCTGGCCCCAGGAAAAGGGTCGGGACTTCAGGGGCCTCGTGTTGAAAAAACAAAGCACTGCGGAGGATCAAGGATCGAGTGGAAGCGAGGCTCGGGGCACTCCCTTGGCCTTCGGCAGCCTCAAGAGGACGGGGTTGGAAGATGGAGAGGAGGAGGAGGAGGAGGAGGAGGAGGAGGAGGAGGAGGAGGAGGAGGAGGAGGAGGGGAGGAGGAGGAGGAGGTTCGTCTGTCGAGCGGCGGAGTGGCCCACAGCCTGGTGTCACGTGGGTGCTGGCATGCCCAGCAGGCCCCCTTGAGCGTGCCATGCCGCGGCCGTCGCCCGACGCCGCGGACCAGCGGCGCGCAAAAGCAGAGGCTCCTCTCCGTCATCCTCCATGGCCTGGCACGTTCACGCTTTCGGGTTTCCTTTAAGTTGCGCCCCGGTAACGCCGCTTCTCCCCCTCCTCTTCCCACCTCCCGCCCCTCTTCAAGGGAGGGGAAAAGACCACCCCGACCGCGATAATTGGCGTTTGCTAAACGGCCCTGGGCGTCTACTAAACAGCCCTGCCCTGTTCGACTGCTTCCTTGGGTGCGTTAACTAAGCGACTTCGCTTGCCGGGGTGCTTATTATGGGGGGGATTTTCTGCTCTCTACCTCCCGTTCCATCTCCTCCCCACGGGCATCACGCAGCGCTTCCGCACTGGAATAAGGCGATGGTGGGCACTTGCGCGTTGCGATCTGGGTGCGAGGAGGGTGAAGGGGGGGCTTTCGAAGGGGGCTGCATTGACCCAGCCTTGCTTTGGTCTGTCCTCCCAGTGTCCGCACAGGCCTTCCCCGCGGCACAGTTCGGCGGGAGGGAGACGATCCTTTGCCAGCAGGAACTCTCAACACTGACGTCCGCCAGAGAAGTGGTCGCGAGGCGATCTGTCTGAATCTCTGGGCGAGATCAGATTCTTCAAGACAGCTCGGATGTCTGTGGGGGCTTGGCTTATGATGCTCCCGTCGTACTTAAGGACCACATCCCAGAAATAGCTTAAAGCATACGGAGAAGTGTCGAAACAGTGTCGAACCAGTGTGTCCCAGGGCCCAACACGTGAAAACCCTCGAGTTTCGGTATTTCCTTGGTGCTCGAATTGTTCCTGGTGGTCAAGGCTAGACTGGGTTGGAACGGCATAAGTCTTAAGGCTCAGTGTGTGGCCGCGACGAGTCCGTCTGCCCAGGCGATCCTGATCAGCCCGGGGGGCCGCCCTGGGCACAAGGCACTCGCTCGGGAGCTGCTCTGCCTACCGCGGCGCTCGAAAAAAAAAAGCGGGCGCTGCCGCTGGCACCTCATGCTCAGGAGGGACAGAACACACACAGAAGCAATCGATCGTCGCCTCCCCAGAAAATTTGGGAAAGTAGGGGAAGTGGGGGGGCAGACGAAAGCTCAGGAACCCGCCGGCCAGCGGCCACCGACTGTGAGAAGGGCCCGCCGCGCCGTCAAGGCACTGCCAAGCAGTGAAAGGGACCAATGAAGGCCGCAGGAGCCCCGAGGGGAAGAGGCCGCCCAGGGGCCCGCTCCCAGGATTTTCCCGCCCCCCAGATCGCTGCGAGATTTTGGGGCGATGAAACTATGGAAAGTGGGGGGGAAGACGAAAACCCAGGAAGCATGGGAAAAGATGATGAGTCCTGTTCTTTGTGTCGATCTACTTGTGTGCCCCAAGGCCCCGTCCCATGCGAGATCGCTGTCTGAAAAGAGGGTGCGTCTCTCGCCCGCCCGGGGGCCGGAGGCGGAGTCCAGCTCGTGATCCGGCCAATCCGGTCCGATGTCGACGTCGGCCCGCCCGCTCCCGTTCGGTTCCGACGCTCTTGCGATGAGGTCGGGCCCGTCCGTCTGCAGGGGGAATATCCCGAAATACTTTTAAAATCGTATGGGGGCTGTGTTTGTCGTTCGATCTGTGTTTGCCATTTTTGATGGCTTTTGAATATTTTCGAATACTTGTCCTCCCAGATCCGCCTGTAGGGGGGGCACGCCCGACCTAATCCTACGATGCGGCGTGGCCCGACGTCCACATGAGGGGCGTTGTGCGTCCTGGCGCGGCCGACCCGATCCGATTACGACGCCGCGCCGATGCCGACCGATCCGAGGCACGTTCCGGTTCGTTCCGATGTCCCGATTGGATGCTGACTTCATGTTGCTTCCATCGCACTTAAGGACCGCCTCCCAGAAATAATTTCGAGAACCTGGAAAAGCGTCGAAATAGTGTCGAAAAAGGTGTCGGATGAGTGCCGGACGAGTGTCTCCCAGGGCCCGACGCGTGCAAACCTTCGAGTTTCGGTATTTTTTGGTGTTCGGAATTCTTCCTGGTGATCAGGGCTAAAGTAGGTTGGAACATCACAATGCTGACTGATCCTGCAGGGGGTGGAGCACCGACCCCCAAGCGTCCACTATTCGCCGATCGGGGTCCCGGGGGCCCAAGCTGCCCAGGAACGCGGGGTTTCCCCCTCGGGGGCCCTGTCGTCGATCTGTCTGCGATGCATCGTCCATTATAAACCATCGTTTCTCGCCGATTCGTCTGCGCTGCATCGTCCGTTCTAAGCCGTCATTCTTCGCCCTGAGACAGTGCCGATATTTCGGGCTGCCCTCAATACAGGTGGGAGTGGAAAGTTTTTGCCGCCGCCCTTAATCAGGAGCGAAAGAAGGACGCACACGTGCATGAATCCACGCTGGTTTCGAGAGTCCGCATTGCGTAAATGTTCGTATCACGCGGCCCGCCTCGCGGATCGAGGGGGCCGCGTTCCTGTACATAGCTGTGCGCATACGTCCTGTGTGGGCTCCCTACCAGACTGTGATTTGAAGGACGGACCTGGGAGGGGGGGGGGTGGGGGCGCGGCCCAGGCAACCGTTCTTTTTGGGCCGGCAGGGTTAAGTCGGGCCTGTCCCTCTACAGGGGGAATATTCAAAAATAATCGAAAAATCGTCTGGTGATTTTTCCCGACCTAGGCTCTGCCTAGAAGGGTTCTTACTCGCTAAGCTTACAGGGCCGGGCAGTGGGAACCGCCCCGGGCGGTTCCCCCGGCATCCGCACCGCGGTTCCCCCAGGATCCCCCGCTTTGCCTAGCCTAGCCTAGCCTAGCTTAGCTTAGCTTAGCTTAGCCTAGCTTAGCTTAGCTTAGCTAGGCTTAGCTTAGCTTAGCTTGACTCGGCTTAGCTTAGCTTAGCTTTGCCTAGCCTAGCTTAGCTTAGCTTAACATAGCTTAGCTTACCTTAGCTTACCTTAGCTTAGCTTAGCGCAGCGCAGCGCAGCATAGCGCAGCGCAGCATTAGCACAGCATAGCATAGCATAGCATAGCCAAGCATAGCATAACGCAGCATATCATAACTCGGCAGAGCATAGCATAGCATAGCATAGCGCAGCATCGCATATCATAGCATAACATAACATAGCATTGCTCAGCATAGCACAGCGCAACATAGCACAGCATAGCATAACATAGCATAGCGCAGCATAGCATAGCATAGCATAGCATAGCGCAGTATAGCATATAATAGCATAGCCTAGCATAGCACAGCATAACATAGCGCAGCATCGCATAACATAGCATAGCATAGCGCAGCATAGCATAGCGAAGCATAGCTTAGCTTACCTTAGCTTAGCGCAGCGAAGCATAGCGCAGCGCAGTATTAGCACAGCATAGCATAGCGTAGCATAGCCAATCATAACATAGCACATCCTAGCATTGCATAGCATAGCATAGCATGCAAAGCAAACGCAACACCAACGCGAAAGTGTCTATGTAGATGTAGATGTAGGTGTAGGTGTAACTGTGGATGTAGGTGTATATGCAGATGTAGATGTAGGTGTAGATGTAGGTGTAGATGCAGGTATGGATGTATATTTATATATATATATATATATCTGTGAATAGTACTGTTGATGTTGATGTAGATTTAGATGCAGGTGTAGATGTTAGTGTAGCTGCCGGTGTAGATGTAGATGTTGCTTTTCTAGATGCTCCAACTCCTAGGTCGGGTCGCACTGGGATTGTTTCTTGTATTTTGGAACATCTTTTGGGCAGTGTTTCAGTATTTTTCCTTTTTCGTCCAAAATCCCCCTGTAGGGGGACACGCCCGACTTAACGGCAGGGCCCTCGAGCGGGCCCTCCGGAGGCCGAGCGAGTCCAGGAGTGCCAAAAAAGATCTGCCCGCCGGGTGCCAAAAGCACCATTGCGCCCCCTGCCTTCTCGGGCTGCCCTCAGCCCAGGCCCCCGGCGTCATGATTTTGGTTCATGGCGTCCACCCGTCGAAAGTCCCACTGCCCCAAATCCCTTCTTATAATCGTCCCCCGGGTCCGGATTTTTAGGGCGCCTTTCCTGTAACTGGCGGGGTCCGGTTTATCAGGGCGCTTTCTTTGGATCGGAGCTTGGGGGCTCCGGAGTATCTCCAGGCGCCCCGTCGAAGAGGGGGGTCCGGAATGTTGAGCCGCCTTTGGAGGGGAGTCCGGTTCTTTAGGAGGGGTGTCGATTCATAAGGGATTTGGAGTGTAGGTCGGGGATCCCAGACCCCCGACATCATGATTTTCGTTCATGACGTCCACCCCCAGAGGTTTCGACCCATTCCCCG